TTTTCTTTCGTTATGTTTAATAATTGCAGCTAATTTAGGTAGGAATTTTTTTGAGCCTCACAAATCGTTATTGAGTTGCATAATGAGAATCTTGCCACCCTTTTAAAGCCTTTGAACTTTATGGGTTCTTAGAAGACCGCTCATCGACGTTATTAACATTCATTTAATGTTTTTCTTAACTCCAATACGGTATTTCTAAATCAGGAATTTTCATAGATCAGAATACGATAGTCTGTTTTCCCAGGCATCAACTATCATAACCTTGTACTGCTACGCTGGTCTTGGACTTAGGCAATGAAAAAGAAAGAAAGCCTCAGAATGATGGGTCCCGGAAGCAGCCCAGGAAAACAGATAGTTGTCAAGGTTAAAGCCATCACAAAGAAAGAAGTACCTTGCTATGTGATAAACTTACAACCCGAATACTAACCATACCATGGGGTCAGTATGGTCGCTTGAAGGGAGGGAAATGGTATGGGTGTATTCATCTTGCAGGAAGACACCCATATCTACTTTGGGTAAAGTGAGGAGCCATTTTCCTGAGACTAGGGATAGGTGGGAGCTATATGGACAATGGCACTGGGCTGAGAGCTTACATATCGTGTCCCTGCTGACTACTGACCTGCAGCCTAGCTTCCTCTTCCCCTCTCACCGGACTCCCACCCTTCTTTGGATCAGGTGACACAAAGGATTTTGTTTTGTTTTGTTGACACAGCGTCTTGCTTTGTTGCTCAAGCTGAAGGGCAGTGGTATGATCACAGCTCACCTTAACTTCGACCTTAAGGTTCAAGAGACTCTCTTGCCTCAGTCTCCAGAGTAGCTGGTACCACAAACATGGGCCACCATACCTGGCTATTTTTTGTAGAGTGACATCTCACTATATTGCCCAGGCTGGTCTCAAACTCTTGGCCTCAAGCATTCTGCCTGCCTCAGACTCCCAGAGTGCTGGGATTACAGGCATGAGCCACCACAGATTTTTATTAGCATCAGTAAAAGAATAAATTTGATAAAGTAAAATTTTTGGCCAGGCATGGTGGCTCACGCCTGTAATCCCATCACTTTGGGAAGCCAAGGCGGGTGGATCACCTGATGTCAGGAGTTCAAGACCAGCCTGACCAACATGGCGAAAGCCTCGACTCAAAATGCAAAAATCAGCTGGCCGTGCAAGTACACTCCTGTAATCTCAGCTACTCTTGGGAGGCTGAGGCACAAGAGTCGCTTGAACCCAGGAGGCAGAGGTTGCAGTGATCCAAGACTGCGCCACTGTACTCCAGCCTGGGTGACAGAGTGAGACTCCATCTCCAAAAAAGAAAAGAATTAATCCACATTGACAAGAAGAATCATAAGAACATCACATTTTTTGTCTCGTATTTTTAAAAAAGACAGATTTTTCACATGCCAGACCGTAGGGCTGAAAATAAATAAGACAAATTTTATATATATGATGTGATGGTTAATTTTAAGTGTCAATTTGACTGGATTAAGGAATACCTAGAAACCTGGTAAAGCTATTTTGTGGTGTATCTGTATGGGTGAGAGATTAGTGTGTGGGTCCAGATGGGTTAGGTAGGGAAGATCCGCCCTCAGTGTGCCAGGTACCATCCAGTCTGCTGGGGAGCCCAGGAAAAACAGAAGCAGAGAAAAGGTGAATATGTCAGTTTATGTGCCAAAGCTGGGTACATACACTCTTCCTCTATTGTTTTTGGACAACAACCCCAAGGTGCTCAGCCTTTGGACTCCTGGATTTACACCAGCAACACCCCACCCCCACCCCTTCCTCCTGGTTCTCAGGCCTTGACCTTGGACTGAGTTACATCATTGGCTTCCCTGGTTCTGAACCTTGGGACTTGGACCGAGCTACTAGCATCTCAGGGCCTCCAGTTTGCAGATGGCCTGTCAAGGGGCTTAGTCTTCAAAATTGCAGGAGCCAATTTCCCTAATAAATCCCAATGTGATAGTTCTTATCCCACAGGCTTGCTTCTTTAGTTTTGTTTTGCTTTATTTTTAGAAATGTGGTCTTGCTCTGTTGTCCCAACTGTAGTGCAGTGACTAACTGCAGTCTCAGATTTCTGGGCTCTGGTGATCCTCCCAACTCAGCCTTTTGAGTAGCTAGGATTACAGGTGCACACCACCATGCCCAGCTACTTTTTATTTTTATTTTTTATTTTATTTATTTATTTATTTTGAGACAGAGTCTTGCTCTGTTACCAGGCGCCAGGCTGGAGTGCAGTGGCACAATCTCGGCTCACTGCAATCTCTGCCTCCTGGGCTCAAGCAATTCTCCTGCCTCAGCCTCTCAAGTAGCTAGGACTACAGGCACACGCCACCACGCCCAGTTAATTTTTGTATTTTTTAATAGAGACGGGGTTTCACCATGTTGGCCAGGATGATCTCCATCTCTTGACCTCGTGATCCGCCTGCCTTGGCCTCCCAAAGTGCTGGGATTACAGGCATGAGCCATCGTGCCCAGCCTTTTTATTTTTTGAGATAGAGTCTTACTCTGTCACCCAGGCTGGAGTGCAGTCGCACCATCTCAGCTCACTGCAACCTCTAGCTCCGGAGTAGCTGGAACCACAGGTGTGCACCACCACACCCAGGTAATTTTTATATTTTTAGTAGAGACAGGGCTTTGCCATGTTGGCCAAGCTGGTCTTGAACTCCTGGCCTCAAGTGACCCACCCATGTCATCCTCCTAAAGTGCTGGGATTACAGGCATGAGCTACTGCACTTACCTACTTGTTAAAGTTTTTGTAGAGACGGGGTCTTGGTGTATTGCCCTGGCTAATCTCAAACACCTAGCCTCAAGTGATCTTCCCACCTGGGCCTCTCAAAGTGCTGGGATTATAGGCACGAGCCACTTAACCAACTTGGAGAACTTGGGAAATAAGATGTGGTGGGTCCTTGCCACTGTGAGCCAGATCTGGGTCAGAACTTCATGTATGGCCTGTCCCTTATATACACCCACTCTATAGGATATTATGGGGCCGGGCGCAGTGGTTCACACCTGTAGTCTCAGCATTTTGGCAGGCCAAGGTGGGTGGATCACAAGGTTAGGAGTTCGAGACCAGTCTGATCAACATAGTGAAACCCTGTCTTTACTAAAAATACAAAAAAATCAACCGGGCATGGTGGCTGGCACATGCCTGTAATCCCAGCTACTTGGGAGGCTGAGGCAAGAGAATGGCTTGAACCTGGGAGGCAAAGGTTGTAGTGAGCCGAGATTGTGCCACTGCACTCCAGCCTGGGTGACAGAGTGAGACAGAGTGAGACTCCATCTCAAAAACAAAAAAAGGATATTATAATACTTTGTATAACAACGTGAATTTGGACCCTGTGTCCCACAGGTCTCAAAATATTTGGTTATTCCACTTTTCCCAGTCTATAGTTACCAGAGCAAATGACAGGTCCCTTTGGAGAAGTATTAAGGGAATCATTAACAAATACTAACAAAAACAGGTCAAGCATGGTGGCTCATGTCTGTAATTCTAACACTTTGGGAGGCCAAGATGGGTGGATTATGAGGTCAGGAGTTCCAGACCAGCCTGGCCAACATGGTAAAACGCTGTTTCTACTGGAAATACAAAAATTAGCGGGTTGTAGTGTATATGCCTGTAATCCCAGCTACTCGAGAGGCTGAGGAGAATTGCTTGAACCCTGGAGGTGCAGGTAACAATGAGCTGACTGTGCCATTATACTCTAGCCTGGGCAACACGAGCAAGACTCCACCTCCAAAAAAAAAAAAAAAAAATGGTCTTGGGGACACAAGGTGATATTTACTTCTTGCCGTTACTGTTTTCTTATCTCAATATTCCTTTTATTTATTTATTTATTTAGAGACAGAGTCTCGCTCTGTTGCCCAGGCTGGAGTGCAGTGGCTCGATCTCAGCTCACTGCAACCTCTGCCTCCTGGGTTCAAGCAGTTCTCTGCCTCAGCCTCCCAAGTAGCTGGGAGTACAGGTGCACACCATCACGCCTGGCTAATTTTTGTATTTGTAGAGGCGAGGTCTCACCATGTTGCCCAGGCTGGTCTCAAACTCCTGGGCTCAAGTGATCCACCTGGCTCAGCCTCCCAAAGTGCTAAGATTACAGACATGAACCACCGTGTCTAACCTTTCCTTTTTTGGGCGGTCACCTTAATTCCTCAAATGCTTTTAAACAATGTCACTATATTTTTTGTTTAACTGGTATAATTTCTGTTTTCCTGACCAGTCCCTAAGCAACATTGCCAGTCAGTAAGGACAAAATGTCTAGTTAATGTCCTTTGCTATTCCCCTATTTATCAGAAACTAACATATGTAATAGGGCTAATCTCTTGTAACTCAGTTCCAACAGGTGTTCAAGGAAGTTGTTCTTGAACAAGGAAGGTGGTGTTTAAACCAAACATTTCCCAAAAACATTGTCTATTTTTGTTTTGTTTTGTTTTTTTGAGACGGAGTTTCACTCTTGTTGCACAGGCTGGAGTGCGATGGTGCAATCTCAGCTCACCGCAGCCTCGGCCTCCTGGGTTCAAGCAATTCTCCTGACTCAGCCTCCTGAGTAGCTGGGATTACAGACATGCACCACCACACCTGGCTAATTTTGTATTTTTAGTAGAGATGGGGTTTCTCCATGTTGGTCAGGCTGGTCTCGAACTCCCACCCTCAGGTGACCCACCAGACTTGGCTTCCTAAAGTGCTGGGATTCCAGGTGTGAGTTACCGCTCCCAGCCTTGTTTTGTTTTTGAGATGGGGTCTCACTAATTGCCCGGGCTGGTTTTGAACTCCTGGCCTCAAGTGATTCTCCCTCCTAGGTCTTCCAAAGTGCTGGCATTACAGGCATGAGCCACCACACACATTGAATATGGTAGAGAGAAAAGGTGCCAGTAATACAATTATGTTAACTTTTAAAACTAACTTTATTTCAGGAAAGAAATATATATGATGTTGGGGTAAAGATCATATTCTGTGGTTAAAATTCATCCTATATTTGTTTTGATTGGAGGAGTGACTAAAAATGCTGTTACTGTGCTCACTTCATCAGCACATATACTAAAACTGGAACAACACAGAGAAGATTAGCATGGTCCCTCAGCAAGAATAACATTCAAATTTGTGAAATGTTCTATATTTTTATAAAAATAAAAGAAAAAAAATGCTGTTACTACTAGAAATCATTGCCATCTCTATCTACTTGAAGCCTTTCTGGTTCTGTTCAGTCTATAGGGTTCTGAAGAGTGAGTAAAATCTATAAACAAACAGTGTGATTCTAAGTGGAAGTCAATCAAAAGGATTTCATTTGGAAAGATCACAGAGGCAGAAATAAAAAGGTATAGATAAAATGTTTTATTATGGAAGATTTCAAACATCCGCAAAAATTAGATATAACTATGAAGAACCCCCTGTACCATCATTCATTTCATTGATTATCAATATATGCTTAATTTTGTTTCATCCACTCTATCCCCAATATCTGTTGGGTTATTTTAAAGCAAAGCACAGACATCATATTTCATCTGTAAAATACTTCCGTATAAATATCTGAGATAAAGATTGTAGGTATCACTACACCTACAATTTTTTAAAAATTTAAAATTTGGCCGGGCGCTGTGGCTCACACCTGTAATCCTAGCACTTTGGGAGGCCGAGATGAGTGGATCACCTGAGGTCAGGAGTTCAAGACCAGACTGGCCATCATGGTGAAACCCCGCCTTAAAAAAAAAAAAATTAAATTTTTAATTTTTTTTTTTTTAAGAGACAGTGACTCATTCTGTCGCCCAGGATAGAGTGCAGTGGTGCTAACTTAGCTCACTGGAGACTCCAACTCCTAGATTCAAGTGATCCTCCCATCTCAGCCTCCCAAAGTACTGGGATTACGGGCATAAGCCGACTGTACCCAGCCTTTCATGTTTCTTAAAATCATCTAGTATCCAGCTTTCAAATTTCTTAGTCTCATATATGTCTTTTTGTAGTTTGCGCAAAACAAAATAAAAAAGTCTTTTACATCTTTTAAATCTACAACAGTCTCCCCCTCCTCTTCCTTTTTTTTTTTCTTTTTTTTCTTTTTGAGACGGAGTTTTGCTCTTGTTACCCAGACTGGAGTGCAATGGCGTGATCTCGGCTCACCGCAACCTCCGCCTCCTGGGTTCAGGCAATTCTCCTGCCTCAACCTCCTGAATAACTGGGATTACAGGCATGCGCCACCATGCCCAGCTGATTTTTGTATTTTTAGTAGAGACGGGGTTTCACCATGTTGACCAGGATGGTCTTGATCTCTTGACCTCGTGATCCACCCGCCTCGGCCTCCCAAAGTGCTGGGATTATAGGCGTGAGCCACTGCGCCCAGCTAATTTTTGTATTTAGAAGAGAGAAGGTTTCACCTTGTCCAGGAGGGTCTCAATCTCTTGATCTCATGATCCACCCACCTCAGCCTCCCAAACTGCTGGGATTATAGGCGTGAGCCACTGCGCCCAGCTAATTTTTGTATTTTTAGTAGAGACGAGGTTTCACCTTGTCCAGGAGGGTCTCAATCTCTTGATCTCATGATCCACCCACCTCAGCCTCCCAAACTGCTGGGATTATAGGCGTGAGCCACCGCGCCTGGCCTCCCCTTCCTTTTTGACTTGATATTTACTCATTGAAGAAACTGGGTCACTTATCCTATAGAATTTCCCATAATCTGGACTTGGCAGATAGTATCACCTTGGTGTTATTTAACATGTTCTTTTCTTTTTGGTGTTGAGTCAGGGTTTCACTCTGTCACCCAGGCTGGAGTACAGTGGCATGATCACAGCGCTCTGCAATCTCAAACTTCCTTGGATCAAGTGATCCTCTTGCCTCAGCCTCCCTACTAGCTGGGATTACAGGTGTGTACCACCATGCGCAGCTGTTTTTTTTTTTTTCTTTTCTATGATTTTTTTTTTTAAGATGGGGTTTCACCATGATGGCCAGGCTGGTCATGAACTCCTGACCTCAGGTGATCCACCCACCTCGGCCCCCCAAAGTGCTAGAATTACAGGTGTGAGCCACTGCGCCCAGCTGCTAATTGTTTAATTTTTTGTAGATATGGGGTCTCACTATGTTGCCTAGGCTGGTCTCAAACTCCTGGCCTCAAGCGATCCTCCTGCCTCAGCAACCCAAAGTGTTGGGATTTCAGGCCTGTGCTACTGAAATGTGAAAATGTGCTTTAAAGAAGACCTTACTGGAAATATTTAAGATTTTTTTTTTTTTTTAAAGACGGGGTTTCACCATGTTGGTCAGGCTGGTCTTGAACTCCCGACCTCAGGTGATCTGCCCGCCTTGGCCTCCAAAGGGTTGGGATTACAGGTGTGAGCCACCAAGCCCAGCCAGAAATATTTAAGATTTAAAGAAGAGTAAGAATTGTGTATTTGAAAGTAATTGATACAGAAATGCCATGCAGCTACAGAATCACCTCAATCTACATCATGTGTTGTACTGCAAAAATGTTTTCACAAACCTTGTAGCTGATTTGTTTTTGTTTGTTTTTTTTTTTTTGTCCATGAGGCATTTTATTTGTAAATATATGTATTACATCCCTAGAAAAAGAATTCCAGGATTTTCCCTTCTGTGTGTTTTCGTCTCGCTTCTTCATGGTCCATGATGCCAGCTGAGGTTCTCAGTACAATGAAAGCAAACTGGCAGGATGGAAGCAGATTATTCTGCCATTTTTCTAGACCTTTGAGTTGCACATCAAATCTGGGGCTGATCACGCCACACTTGTTTAGCCTGCCTGTGAGGTTCACAACAATTTTCCCAGCTCTGTGATCGTCAATGATTTCAAATTCGCCAATGTAACCATGCTTCATCATCACAGTGAGAAACCGGACGATGACTTTGGAGCACGGCCTAATAAGCACCTGGCGTTTACCTCTCTTTTCGGCATTGTTGATGCTCTTGAGAGCATCAGCCAGGCTATTTATGCGCACCATTACCACAGCACGGAAAGATGGCGGAAACAGCGTAGCTGAAGATTTCAATTTACTCCGCAAAGTATCTAGACTGCAAAGAACGAAGCAAGAGGAGAAAATAATCATACATACACAACAGCTGGAATATTGCTTTAAATGTAAATGTAAAACTATTCTACACTCAACTTCTAATGGCTTTCCTTCATGCCTAGAATACAATCAAAAATTGGAAGCATATACTACGGCTTCCATGGCACTAGGATAAAGCTCTACCTACCTCTCTGACCTTATTTCCTACCACTTTCCCGCTCTCCCTGTGCTGCAAACTCCTTGCTCTTCCTAAAGCATGCCAAGATTGTTCCTGCCTGGGGCCTCTGCAGTTGTTCCATACATCAGAAGGTCATTTCCTCCCAAGTAATCAGAGTTCAGGTCCTCACTTAATTTTAGGCCTTTGTTCAGTGTCATCCTCTCAGAGCCCCTCCTGACCACCCTATATAAATCAGCACCCTACCTTATTCCTTCTTCCTCTCCTTACCCTGCTTTACTGTTTAGTCTACGGGACATGTAACAAGCTGCCATTGTACTATATACTAATTGGTTTCTTTCCCCCACTAGAATATAAGCTCGGTGACAGTGAAGACTTTTGTTCACTTCTCCAGCATCTAGTAGGTGACACACAAATATCTGACTACATTTAATCCACACTCTCATTTACCATTCCCAAACTGTATTAAATAGTACTAGTATTGCCATCCTCACTTTACACTTTGCAGGAAACTATTGGCGTACAAATCTTAAGACCTGAGAACAAACAAACTGAGGGGAACAAGAAGTCTGGACTTCATGACTGATCACCGAAATAAGTAAATCAAAGCGAAGGCGTCTGTTTAGTATGGAATAAGGGAAACCCAAACCATTTGAGAAACCAATTAAAATGTGGACCTCTTAGGAAGAAGGCCGATCGAAAGGCCGATCGAAATGCTGCTGGAAACTGAGTCTCTTTCCTAATGACAGGACCTTATGTTGCCCTCACAATTACCCCATGAGGTAGGTACGGCAGGCTTTGTATTAGACAATCATTAATGAGCAGGACGCTGACTGACAGGCTTCGCAGCTAGGAGCGAGGCCCTGTCTGAGTCCGGACTCACGGGTTTGGACAGTTACATAATTAATACTCAAACTGTGGGGCTTCCCGCTGCCCCCCATGCCCCGGCGAGGCTCACGTGACAGGCCCCACGTGACAGGCCTCCCAACCGGAAGCGGTCCTCAGGAGAACCAGGGCGGTTTTTTAATCCAGGAACAGTTCCAGCGCGGGACGTGGGCTGAGCATTCATTGAGTATTACGCAAAGCGCGCGAGCGCGCGGAAAAGGCGATTGGTCGGTCTGGGCAGAGAGGTGTGTCCTGGCGGGCCCGCATCTCCTCCGATTGGCTGACAGGCTGATGGAAACGTTTACAGTCAGCCCTACGCAGGGTGAGCGTGCGTCAGCCTTGAGCAACCCGGAAGGGATGAGGGGGCGTGTCTAGCTGCGCAGGGGGCCAGCCGATTGGCTGGAAGACAACGGAGCCGGGCGACCAGGCCCGACCAGAGGAGGGCGGTGCCGCTGGGTAGGTCCGGGAGGTGACGACCGGCTTTGGAGAGTGTATCATGGCAGCTCGGACTGGTCAGACGGCCTTGAGAAGGGTGGTCTCGGGATGTCTTCCGAAGTCAGCGACAGTGGCCGGTAATCCGACTCCGTCGCCCGTGCGGAACGGCAGGTAATGAACAGCGAGGGTGCTGCTACGAGAGTAGTTTTCCACTCTGGTTGCCGAGTTGGGGGACCGGAAGGATTTTGGGGCGAGGAACAGCCGGACTCGGTGCATTTACGTGTCTTTAGAGGAGAAGGCTCTTTTGTATTTGGCATTTGAAGGACTCAAGAGCCGCGCGCATCACCGTGGGCGCAAGGCGGCTGTATTAGTGGTTCGTTTCCCTTGCGACAGGCAATGAATTTTCGGCGAAGCGACTTTGGAAGCAGTTTGGCCATTGGTGCCTTGGGGCTCTTCCGGTTTCCTCCCCTATGGCCTGTTGCTACTGCTGTTGGAAAGTTTTAACTTTGCGCAGAAGGGTTGCTGGCTGCTGGCTGTATGGGAGTTTGGTTTGGCGGTGAGTCCCTGTCTCTGGTTCCTTCTGCCTGCCAGGTGGTCAGATTCCTTTTTCCCGGTTTCTGATAAAGTGGTTTGCCGTCGCTATTTAGAGCTTACAAAAGTAAATATAGCCAACACAAGGGACCTGGAATTTTTCACTCTGCTGTAACTTACAGGTCCTGTAACCTTGAACCGTAGTCTGCTTTCGATTTTCCTGGTTGGTTCATTTTTTGGTAGGTGGGAGTGGAGATGGAAGTCGGAACTTGGATACTATACTTGTACGACTTAGTTTCTTTTTACTAGTAACATTGTAACATTCTTGAAAATTAAACTTTAAAATGAATTCAGATGTACAAAGTACGAAGTGAGGAGAGAAAGCAAATCTGGTTGAGCCCCAGGACATTTAGATTAAATGAAGATCCAACCCTCCTGGAATCGTGGAAATAAAAACATTAAAAAATTCAGTGAATAATTTTTTAAAACAACAATAACCTTACCAAATCCAAATTCCTTTAGACAAATGTTGGATGAGACAAATAAAATCATAAAATTGCTCCTGGTTTAGTACATAACCTCAAAAAGTAGTTTCAGGCAGAATAAACCCATCATACTTTAGATCTGTTTGTATTACTCTTATAAAATGTCTTTCAAATAAACAAAACTGTTTACTTTTGAGAAAAATAAAGTTGCTTTAGTGATTAAATTGAGGCTTCAGTTCCAAGACAGATACTGTTTATAATAATGAGGGAGGCAGTTTGAGTTCATTTTCAGTGTTAAGCATCAGATTCTGACCTTTATTATACTTAAGTGTTTGAGAGAGTAGTACTGGAAGACGAGTGATAAAAATGCTGTCCTCCATGTGGTCCAGTGGTCCAGTACTGATTTCTTGCTTTAACTGTATATATGAATGTGTGTCTCCTTATATCGTAGTTTAAGACATAGTATTCCTGATAGTGCATGAAAATAGATATGCTGTCCAGGGCACTGCAACTATAGCATGCAAATTGATCAGAAAATTTCCTATTAGTTGCTTTAAAGACAGCTGTTTTCCTTAGGTTTGTTATCAGATTGTGTAAGGGTATTTTTTTGGTAGGCTGGGAGGCAATACATGAACCTTTGTACCAGGTTCATGTATTGACTACCAGTAAATACATAAACCTTTATATATAGTAAAAAGTCAACCAGATACCCAGTTCACCTCTTTAGAAGCAAAAGTCTTATCTTTTTTCAAGTAAAGGTTTCAGCACTATTCACAGTAGCCAAGATACGGAATCAGCAGGTGTCCAACAACAGATGAATGGGATTGGGTGCAGTGGCTCATGCCTGTAATTCCAGCACTTTGAGAGGCTGAGGCAGACACACACATATATAGAAAAATTAGCTCTGTGTGTGTGTGTATGTGTATACACGTACATATATGTAGAAAAATTAACTGGCTGTGTGCTAGTGCAGGCTTGTGGTTCCAGTTGCTCAGGAGGCTGAGGTGGGAGGATCATTTGAGTCCAGGAGGTTGAGACTGCAGTGAGCCTTGATTGGGCTACTGCACTCATGCCTGGGCAACAGAGCCAAACCCTGTCTCAAAAAACGAAACAAGCAAGGCTGGACACAGTTGCTCACACCTGTAATCCCAAGAATTTGGGAGGCTGAGGCAGGAGGATCACTTAAACTCAGGAGTTTGAGACCGGCCTGGGCAACATAGGAAGACCTCGCTTCTACATATAAGTAAAAAATTGGCAGGGCTTGGTGGCATGTGCCTGTGGTTCCAGCTACTTGGGACCTGAGGTGGGAGAATTGCTGGAGCCCAGGCAGTGGAGGCTGTGGTGAGACTGTGCCACTGCACTCCGGTCTGCATGACAGAGTGAGACCCTGACTCAAACACAACAACAACAACAAAACAGATGAATGGATAAAGAAAATGTGGTATATATGTTAATACACGATGGGAATACTATTCAGCCATCAAAAAAGAGTGAAATCCTGTTATTTGCAGCAACGTGAATGGACGTGGAAGACATTTTGTTAAGTGAAACAAGCCAGGAACAGAAAGTTAGACATTGCGAGTTCTCTCTCATATGTGGAAGCTAAAGAAAGTTGATCTCATAGAAGTAAAAAAGTATAACAGATGATACTAAAGATTGGGAAGGCTGGGAAGAAGGGAGAGATAGGGAGAGATTTGTTAAAGGATATAAAATTGCCGGGCGCGGTGGCTCAAGCCTGTAATCCCAGCACTTTGGGAGGCCGAGGCGGGTGGATCACGAGGTCAAGAGATCGAGACCATCCTGGTCAACATGGTGAAACCCCGTC